ATCTATTGACGTCACGTGATACCAAATTTAGTATATGTGGAGCCAGCGAAACGGCCGCGAGCCCCCATACGAGCGTGGTATGTTGTCATGTTCCTACATGACACGCGTGTCAGGATTATCACGTTTGCAACATTCATATAGCTTCGTAATCCATTGACGTCACGTATCACCAAACTTGGTATATGTGGACCTAGCAAAACGGCCGTGGGCGCATCATGAAGGGCCCAATATACTCCAACGTAACGCTGACGCGCTCGCACGCTGGGCACAAAGACGCTGTTTTAGCAAAACTCAAACACTCTATAGACAAACGCCAGGCGCAACCGACACGACCAGCGTCTGTCGGCGCGGCCCGACGGCAACCAGCACGAAATGCGACATACTGCATTTCGCGTCGATGCGTTACCCAGACAACACTGCGCCTCTCTCTTTTCGTCACGTGGGATCACCGGACGCGCTGAGACGCGCATGCGTCAAAGCATCGCTGCACGGCACACGCCTGCGAGTATATGGCAGAACCTGCGCCTGGCGTGCCAACGCCGGCGTGATGCAAAAGAACAAACGCAGGCGCGCACGTGCACCGGGTCCCGTCGAAATGTAAGTACCTTCGTCCTTCTGGGCTAAAGTGCTCCTCGAGTAAGTCAGAACTTTTACTGTATCGGACTGCACGCCGGGGACCGAAGCCCAGGGGATGGAAGCCGTTAAACCAGATAGACATCCACCTCCATACAAATCAAGGGGATGTCATCCAGAGGGTCGACTCCATCAAAGTCCTGGGCATGCTGATAGAGTCTAGCGGTGCCAACAGCAAATCTATAGCCAAGTTAACTTGGAAAACAGACAGTGCGGTGCACCTCATACGCAGAGTGGCCAACAAAAAAAAATGGGATCAAGGAAGACAACCTCATCAGGTTGATGCATGCGTTTGTTTTAAGCCATTTCACGTACGAGGCAGCAATGCACAACTGGTCAAGGGCAGAGTCCGAGACACTGAATGTGCTCCTCAGGAAAGTTATCAAGAAGGTCCTAGACCTACCCATACATACCAGCACCGAGCGTCTGTTTGAGCTTGGCATTCACAACACGCTCGAAGAAATAGCAGAAGCCCAAGAGAGAGCACAGTTTTCAAGGTTATCTGCAACAAAGTGGGGGAGAATGATCCTGCAATAGCTGCGCCAACACCCAATGGCAATCAGACGCAATTACAACGATATCCCCGACAACATCAGGGAGACAATCACTGTGTCTCCTATACCAAGAAACATGCATCCAGAACACAACGTCGGAAGAAGAGTAGCGAGGGCCAGGACTATACTTCGTCAAGTCTCAAACGAGGAACAAGGAGCCGTATTTGTGGACGCGGCTTCCTACGCCAATGGGAAAGCGTTTGTGGCAGTGGTGGTCAATGGGGCTGGCCATGTCGTCAACTCAGTGACGGTCAGGACGAAAGACCCAATCATTGCGGAACAGGTGGCCATCGCCTTAGCACTCAAGATGGATAACATTGAAGTCGTCTACAATGATTCCATGGCAGCACTACGGGCGTTCGCCAAGGGGACGGTCTCTGAACAAACACTGAGAATACTGCAAGGCAAGAACATAACGCATCATCTTCTGAGTTGGTTCCCAGCTCACCTTGGGCAAATCAACGATTTCCCTCCCAATCTCAATGAAGCAGCACAAGAGGCGGCGCGAGAACTCTCCAACCGCGCCTCCCCGGGGATGCGTTCTACCGGTGAAGGGGATAACCGGGAAATTCTTACAAAATAAAGAGCTTACTAAACATTTCTACCTGTCTAGAAGGATTTTCCCTCCATCTCACAAAAATCTAACCCGGCCCCAAGCACTTACATTAAGGCTTTTGCAAACGCGGATGCACCCTACTTTGAAAATGTTACACATCATGTACCCTGCCCTATACCCAAGTAATCTTTGTCCACATTGTAGGAAAATAGCTTCATGAGAACACATGCTCTGGCAGTGCACCAAATTCGCTCATTTATCGAACATCATCTCTGCCAGATGGGGGGCGGCAATCCGCAGCTCGTCCTTGGCAGATCAGCTCTGGGCTGTCCACCAAGCCCGCGAGGCGGCTGAGGAGCTTGGCATCTCAGTCCCCACGTGAGAGCTGCCCGCAACACAGTGATCTTTGTTTTGGAGGACCAAATAAAAGTTTATCCAATCCAATCCAATCCAAGCCACTGTTGAAAGCATTATTGGGGTGAAATATAAACCCTAAGATTTTCATGATGGCTACCAACAGTAGATCTCTTTCAAGTTTGTCATCGAAATTCGAGATCATGCAGTGGAACTCTAGATGGTTTCGGAACAGGTGAAAGCGCTCACACCTTTCCTTCTTCCTCCACTCACTCGCCTCTCAGCCAGCCGTGTTGGCACACCAAAAATCTAGCGCGACACCAACTTTTTGTGGATACTTTCCTTGTCGGGAACTGAGAACACGAACGAGCCGACGGATAACGACAACTGTTTAATGGTCAAAGGATTGGATCAAACCATGCGTGCTAGCGCGGCTACATGTTAGCTCGACAGACACGGTCGCACACCCTCGCGCCAGCGATCTGCTGCACCGAATCGTCCCACACGTCACGTGATGCGGTACGCATAGCGCCATCTCCTTGTGGCTGCGTCCACGACACCTCCTCTTCTTTTAAGTGGCCCTCCTGCTCGTCACAGGTCAAGCCGACTCAGAGCTCTCACGGTTCGTCCACTTCTTGTTGTCGCCACAGGTTGTAGCGGCCGCAGATGTTTGCTGGTGCGTCTTGTGAGACCTCTAGGTGTGCTCACCACATATGAACGAGGCGTGTGAGCTGGCCCAATGACGGTCCCTGTTATTGGAGCACCATACAGAATGCGGACGGCTGTCTGCGGTTGAATGGAATCTCTTGCTAAGGTCCTATGTCTCCGGTTATATTGTTGCCCCTGCTTGACCCTCTAGGCTTCGTTTCGTTTTGTAAATTCTACGGTGCTCCACCGTGGCCTCAGCATGTGTGGTGCCACGGGCACGTAAGTTCTTAGGCGCCTTCCCATGAGGAGTTCCGCTGGTGTGAACCCTTTTTTCCCTGGCGTGTCTCTATGCGCGAGCAGATCCTTGTGGATGTTTGGCAATTTCTTGATCAGCTGTTTAGCAGTCTGAACTGTTCTTTCTGCCGCGCCATTGCTCTGAGGGAAGTAGGGGCTGCTGGTTACGTGACTTGATCCCCATTGCTTGACAAACGCCTTAAACTGTGCTGAAGCAAACTGAGGGCCATTGTCTGATCGTATGGTAGCCAGCGCCCCAAAGCGCGCGAAGATCTGATTCAGTGCTTGAGTTATGTTCTCTGTGGTGGTGCGCTTCAACTTCTTGATTTCAAAGAAACGTGAGTAGTAGTCCACAACCACGAGGTAGGTAACTCCATCCACACAGAAGAGATCGATTCATATTGCTTCCAATGGGCGTTTGGGAAGTGGGGAGACTATCATGGGCTCGGCGTGTGGTTTACGGTGTTGTTGACAGACAGGGCATCTTGACACATAACTCTAGATGTGCTGGTTAATGCCTGGCCACCACACCGATTGAGTGGCTCAAGCCCTACATGTCCCAACGCCCTGATGACCGGCATGCAAGTGCTCTGGCTCACCACTTTGCATGCTTGGTGGAATTACAATGCGGTTGCCTTTGAGGAAAATTCCATCCACTTGTGTCAGTTCTTGGGCAAATTCTGAATACTTCTGCACGTCCGGACTGCACGTCTGCACATGGACGTGCAGAATACTTCTGCACGTCCATGTTCTTCCCTTGAAGAGCCAAACACTATAATGTCGTCTTGTAGACATGCTTGGCCTTCGATGCCTTCTAGAACTCTTAGCATTTCTCTCTGGAAAAACTCGGGTGCTGTTGAAATTCCAGACCAATCGGAAGAACTGAAACCTGCCGATTGGCGTCAGAAATGTAGTGTACTTCTGGGACTCGGGTGCTATCGGATATCGCCAATAACCAGCCCTTGCATCAAGCTTGCTGAACCATGTAGCTCCGGCAAGTCTGGCCAAACATTCGTCGACAGTGGGCATTACGACTCATTCCCGCAGAATGTTCTTGTGGAACCCTCTGAAGTCAACACAGATTCGAAGCTCGCCTCCTCTCTTTTTCACGACTACCATAGGTCACATCATTGAAAACTACACTAGCATTACCCCTACTGTCTCTTCGCAGGAAAGTGTCTCGGCTGTGTATATTCCATAAAATTTACTTCACCAATCCGTTACTCAGAAGCAGATTATTGGCCCAACCAACTTATGTTTCCACTCGCATTGATCCTCGCCATAAAGTAGGACTTCCTTTAGCGCACACCAAGTGTTTTTATAATTCATTTGTGCCAAAAACATCTGTATGCTGGAATCATCTTCCTTGCGATATTGTTGGTATAAAAGATGCTGCTTTATTTAAAATTGCCGTCACTAATTTTATTTGTACGTAGCCTCAGTTCAACCCTGTAGCAAGCGACGATTGCAATTTTTCTGTTGTTGTATTTTGCTTTGTATGCTGTACATGTATGTATTTACCCACTCCTCTCTGTAATGCCCTCGGGCCTTGAGGGTAACTGAATGAATAATAAATAAATAAATAAGTGCGCACCACTCCTTGGCCTCGTCGACCTTTCTGATGACGCCGAGGTTCTCCATTCTCTCCAACTCACGTTTCACACTAGGCAGCATGGGTAGGGGTACTCGCCGCAGATACGTAATAGCACTCGGCTTGGCATCGGGGAGTAATATTATCTTGTATTGTGTCTTGAGAAGGCCCAGGCCTCTAGTCAAGTTGGGGTAGTGGCAGAGAATGTTAGCAGGGTCACTGACCTTGCTTGTTGACGCTGTGACTTCGAGGAGGACATCCAATGATTTGATTGCTGGACGTCCGAGAAGTGCATCGTGTAACTTGTCGATCACGTAAATTTCTTCTTGCCACTCTCGGCCATTCCAGCACAAGGTTGCGCTAAACAGACCTATTGTTGCGATTTTGGTCCGGCCGGGTCCCAGCAGCTGTTTCTTGGCCTGCTTCTGATGACTTGCTCGTTGCCCATGACTAGTTCATTGTAGATACTTGTAGGTATAGCGTTAACATCTGCACCGGTGTCTACTTTGAACTTCATTGGCAAGCCATTTACTGTAACGTCAGTCCTCCACAGTCCAGAGTCCCGTTGATCGGTCAATTCACCGAAGTAAACCTCTTTCAAAACAGCATGGTGGGTGCTCTTTTTCTTCCTCGCAGAGGGAGATGAGCACACGGCGGCGAAGTGTCCCTTTTTGCCGCAGGCACTGCATATTTTTCCGTTTGCCGGGCACATAGTGCGTGATGGTGCGTGCGTTGTTGAACCACACCACTTGCACGTCGGCACAGTTTGGTCGCGCTGTGTTTTTTGAGAGCGCTGATTTGGCTTTCCTTTGCTCTTCGAACATCCACGCATGGCGTCAACAACCGCAGGCACCTGTTGCTGTGGCCGTACATCTTTTTGCTGCAGCTTGATCGTTTCAGAGTTGCGTGCAGCGGTGACGGTGGCTTCAAGAGTCAGCTCGGCGTTAAGTTGCAGCTTCTCGCTTAACTGCGTGTCTGCAAGGCCGACCACGAGCCTGTCGCGGATCAATTTTTCTTTGAGATATCCGTACTCGCAGGTTTCAGCCAGTCGGCAGAGTTCGGTTACGAACGCGTCGACTGACTCATGCGCTTCTTGCTTCCGGCTGTTGAACTTCGCCCGCTCGTATATCACGTTCGTCCGCGGCACGAAATGTTTCGCGAACGCTCGTGTTACCGCGTCGTAGTTGAGTTTCTCTGCGTCAGAAAGTTTGAGTGACGCCAGGACATCTTCTGCTTCACGGCCCATCGCGTAAATGAGTGTGTTCACCTGGGTGTCGTCGTCTTGTTTCTTCAAACCTGAAATGACGTGGTATCTTTCCCATCGTGTAAACCCCCGCTTCCACTCCTCGGGTCACCGAAAGTCGAGCTTTTCCGGCAGTTCAACGACGAAAGGGTTGAGCGGGGTTGCAGGCTGAGCTGTGGGCACTGTAGGCATTGCCATGGGTGCTGCAAAGTTCTGTGTTCGATGCCGGCGTTTGTTAGGCCTACTTGTCCGGTGCCCTCTTTACAGCGTGGTCGTGTCTTCCACGCTTCCCACCACTGCCACCATGTCGCGGTCGGGAACTGAGAAAACGAATGAGCCGACGGATAACGACAACTGTTTAATGGTCAAAGGATTGGATTAAACCATGCGTGCTAGCGCGGCCACATGTTAGCTCGACAGACACGGTCGCACACACTCACGCCAGCGATATGCCGCGCCGAATCGCCCCGCACGTCACGTGATGCGGTACGCATAGCGCCATCTCCTTGTGGCTGCATCCACGACAGATACTGCTCCTTTGTAGGAGGCACGCCTTCCTGTGCATAAGGCATACACGGCGATGCAGGTCGACTTCGATCTGGATCTCCCATACGACTATTGTATGATTTCAGCGCTGTCTCATCGGAGAGGCCAACTATTTTTTCCCATAATAAACGTGCACTATCCCCCTCGTCTTGCGAGGGCATCCTTTACAAATCTGTTTCATAGGACGCTTCGCACGGCACACCGTCAACCCCTGTCGGAGATTTGATTTCATAAGGAAAATAATATGTTCGACGGTATCAAATGTATTTTTTAAGTCAATGAAGACAACTACAACAAGAACGTTGTTGTGCAGTGCTGTGTTAATCTACTGTGATAACTATAACAATGCTGTTGATGTGGAATGGTGTGATCTAATTCACAATGCTTTGGGCAAAAATTACATTTTCCTAGGAATAGGCGCTTTGATTTTCCCAGAACCTTTTCGAATATGGTTCTTATATTGCTTAACACAGATATGGGCCGATAGCTTGAAGGATGGGAGAAATTGCCCTCTTTGTATACCGGCACAACTTTAGCGTTTTAGGGGCGAAGCTCCTTATAGACCCGTTCGTCCCGCGTACCGTCGTAGTATGTAACCAGTCTTACGCTTTGACCTGCAAGGTGGAGCCAAGTATAACATTTTGACCGCCAAGGTGGTGCCGGTGAGAGATTTCTTCTGTGCGTTGTTTAACAATAAAAAATAGTGCTCAATGTACATGCCAATGGCTGTTGTTGGGGAATTAGAGACAGGAGCATTCGGCTTTTAGTCAACGCGCACGCTGCGATCCCCATCAGCAGCCATTGGCATGTACCTTGAGCACTATCGGACAAGAAAGTGTTGCTACATTATACTCGCTGGGTGTAACCTCCTTAGTTTTAGAATGATTTAGCGAGCGTTGGGAGGAAGACGAAGAAGTGTGTTTTGAATAGGAGCTACTTATGCTAACTCCGGCGTATTTCAGTAGTAATTTAAGTCTGTTGATCAGTTTTCGCTGCTCCCTTGGACGGGATGAATGTAGACCACCCCGGGCGCCTGCCGGCACCAGCGGCGTCAGCGGCAGCCGCCTACAGGAAGCGGATGGGACAAGCCAGTGACAGCGACAGTGAAGATACTCATGCTTACTATCTCAGCAGTGAGGACTTTTCAGATGGTGGTTTCTAACCTGTGCTGGGCCGCAAAGCGAAGAGGAGGAACATGAGGACATCCTCATCCTCAACCATTCAAACTGTAAGTGAAGCGCCAAAGTCGAACACTTATACCATCCTGTTTCTGCTTGCACTTCCTACCGTCAGCATGAAACGCCTTAACAGACAGCCTGTGTCGAGGTCTCTGGAAACGCTTGTGCCAAATGAGATCACGGACATAAGAGTGAACGCCAAAAAGAATATACTGGCTGTGGACGTTTTGCATGCAAGTGCGTTTGGCGTTCTGCGCAGCGTAACTGACTTGGACGGCAACCAGGTGCGCTCTCATGTTCCCTTGGGATGTGATGTAGTAACCGGCGTGATCTACGACATAGATGTGGCTATTTCCAATAATGACTTACAGTTTCTTGTCAAGTCAACAACTCATACTCCAATTGTTGATGTCACCCGGCTAGGCAAGTCTCGCTGGGTGAAGATTGCGTTTAAGAGCACATCACTCCCCTCTCATGTGAAGGTGGGGTACTTCAGACATGCTGTGCGGCCCTTCATTCCAAAGCCTCTCCAGTGCCGTAAATGCATGAAACTTGGACATGTGAGCAGCGTCTGCGAGAATTCGGTGGTATGCCACCGCTGCGCCGAGCGCCATGAAGTGGATAAGTGCGTCGCAACTGTCAAGAAATGCTCTAATTGCAATGGATCCCATGAAGCCACATCGAAGGACTGCCCGCGGATTTAGAAGGAAATAGCCATCTTGAAGGAGATGGTGCGCGATCACTCATCTCATCGAGAAGTCGCAGCTAAAGTCAGAAGGCGTCGTTCACGTCGACGTCGGTCTTCAAGGACGCCCGCTACCTCCTCGACACGTTTGCCAGATCCCTCATCAGTACCACCTCCTTTGCCTCCCAGACCACATGCCGTGGGAAAGGCTGTAAAGGACAAAGCCAGTGAGCATACCCTAACTGCGACAGAGTGGCCTGCACTTCAAAGGGAAGCAGCATCAAGCGAACCGAAGAAGTTTCATAACGGCCAGTCCGCGATCCCGGTTCGAGATATTTCGAACCAAGACAGGCAAGTGACTGCAATCGTGCAATCATTATTTGCTACGATTCGCACGCTACTGAGCAGCATACAATCTGCGTCTGCTAAGAGTGCACTGCAAATACTGGATGCACTGAATCCAGTTCTTGCTAACGTCGTATAAGCAAAATGGCTCAAAAAATCTCATTTTCCGCACTGAAGTTAAAAGTGCGTCAGTTTTTCAGCGGAATGCCAGAGGCATGAAGTCCCGTATTTCGGTATTTCGCCAATTTGTTCGGGCCAATCAATTCTCTATACTTGTCATATGTGAACTAAACGTATCAACGCCTTATAGATTGTCCGGTTAGGAAGCTTTTTGTTCAGCCGCTTGCGAAGAACAAAGCAAAGTAATTGTTTACATTCGAACAGACTTGACTTATCTTTCGCACCCAATAAGTTCAAATGACGACCATCAGTACGTGTGTCTTCGTGTAAAGAAGAATGCAGTTTCGTTCACGCTTATTGGTGGAAATATATCTCCGTCATCGCGATTTGACTACGACAGATTAAAAGACATCCTAATGAGGACCGATGGGCCTTGGATCATCACCGGTGACTTCGACGCCCATCACATGCTTTGGGGGAGCACTAGGATGAATGCCAGGGGCCGGAACATTGTTACATTTGCTTCCGATTACGACCTTTCCATCATGAACGATGGTACCCCCACATATCTGCGGGGTCTCACGTATGGCACTTGCCTTGACCTGACATTGGTGTCATGGTGCTTCTCTCACAAAGTTAAATGGTTTTGCGATATTGAGACTCATGGGAGTGATCACATACCCACCTACGTGACGATCGATGGTATCATAACAAATTTCTCTTCCGGTGTTCTAATTGGCACTGACTGGTCGATGTTTACATCGCGTGTTGAGGACGCTTGCCAAAAAGGCCTTGCCTGCAGCCTGGAAAGTACCATAGCTAAAGCTATGCAAGCGTCCAAATGTAAATTACCATTTTCGTTTAAAATAACGCAGTTTGACATCGAACGGGAAAAATTACGAGCTATACGAAGGTGTGCTGAACGACAATACAGACGCACAAGATCAGTTCACGATCTGAGGGAAGCAACGCGGTTCCAGAAAATGATTCAACGATGCTTTTGCAAGCTGGAGAGCTAACGCTAGAAAGCATTCTGCGAATCTCTAGACTCTCATAAACCACTGTCATATATCTCGAGAACAGTTCGTGGTCTTCACTCCTCTGCGCAACAACGGTATCCTTTTAAAGCTTTGGCACTCCATCATGTAAAAACAGAACTCGAGTTGGCTGAAGAATTTTGCACGAGAGCTGCCGGGAATATTATGAACGGGAGCATCAATGCCGTGATCGTTCTTGAGACGCGATTACCAGATATGGACATTCCGTTCACCATGGAAGAATTGGAAGGTGCGTTAGTCGCTTCTAAGCGCAAGTCATCGCCAGGTCATGATGATATTACTTATAGTGCGTTGGGACACCTTGGACAAAAAGCCAAAAAAGAACTTTTAACATGCTTCAACAACTCCTGGCTCAGCGGCAGTGTTCCACGAGAATGGAAAATAAGTTGATTATTACCACTTTTTAAATCGGGAAAATCACCATTGCACTTGACAGCGTATCGCCCTATTTCCCTCGCAAGCTGCTTCGGAAAAGTGATGGAAAGAATGGTTCTATTTCGTCTCGAGTGGTACTTGGAACTATACACCAAATACCCTGCTTGCATGGCAGGCTTTCGTCGGGGCCGCTGCTCCATCGACTTTGTCCTTGACTTATCGACATTTGTTCAGCAAGAAAGAAGTCGCAGGCGCATATCAGTGGCACGCTTTCTTGATGTGAAGGGGGCATATGATAATGTAGCTCACGATGTCATCCTCACTTCTATCGCAGCAATGGGCATTGGTGGACGAATGTTTCAATGGATAAAAGATTATATAACTGGCAGGGGTTTTTTTGTGTAAACATGTGAGGGTACAACTGCTGAGCATTATTACACTTACTGCGGAGTACCTCAGGGAGGTGTTTTAAGCCCCACATTGTTCAAAGTTGCCCTCATTGGTCTGGTGAAGGTTCTGCCAAAGTCGGTGTGCCTATCCATATACGCCGATGATATTTGCCTCTGGAGTGCTGCAGTTACTCGCCCTCAGGTGCGTGTACGAATACAGCGGGCAGCAACCCTCACAACAGCCTACCTTCAGAAACAAGGCCTAACTAACTATATCAACTGTGAAGTGCGCGTTGATGGCGTTTAC